CTCTCAGACTCTGTTACAAATTATGTCAAAAGTAGACACTTCAAACTATACACCTGTTTTTAAAGACTGTTTCACTTCAAGAATAATAGTCATAATTTCTCCTTACCTGAGGAAAGTCTGCATTATGATCCCTGCTGCTGTATCTGGTCTCCCTGATTTTGTTCTTTGCACTGTAGCAATGAAGATTTGTTTTAAATATGTGGAAAGCAGCCAGCATGACTTCTGCACAGAAATGAAAGACTAGTGGGTTTATCTAGCATTAATAAACTAGCTTGGCAAGGGATGTAACATGTAAAACAACTAATCATGTTAACTAGCTAAACTTTATTTAATGTGTAACTCATCATTTAGCTAACATTATCTGCCTCCAACAGCATGACTCAACTTACATGGTTTGTTTGGTAAAAAAGTTTTAGTTGCTCTTTACACCGCGAGGCTGCTCAGCACAGCAGCTCCTATCGACATCTCATCTGCAGGACTAGCTTGCGCACGCTTACGGTGCGTTCAAAGACGGCTCAGAAAAAAGCAWTACCTTATGTTAATAATGGATAAAACAGCTGTTACGGCTAAGAAAAGTGTGGGGACAGAGAGCGCAGATGCAGGAAGTGCGGGGACTCAGGGAGACATGTCCACATATATCCCGCATCCGTTATGTCCGTGCCTTCACTGCCCAGGGCCCTTTGGAGACCGTGGGCCCCTGGGCAGTTGCCCAATTGCCCATATGGTTAATCCGGCCATGCCCAGGGCCCTTTGGAGACCGTGGGCCCCTGGGCAGTTGCCCAATTGCCCATATGGTTAATCCGGCCATGAATAAGCTCATGGTAAAACTGCAGTATGACATGAATTGAAGAAAAAAAGGCGTATATTATTTATCATAATTCTGGTTTTACTTATCAACACTTTTAAAACTGGTTTAAAGGCTGAAGTCTCTGGTTTTGACTCAGAGTCTCAGAGAGGATTCTAAAAGGTTCTGGGAGGTTCAGCAGCTCAGTTTGGGAGGAGCTGTGGTGCTCTCACCTGGACTCAGAAGGACCCGCCCTGCTCTGCTCTGATTGGATAAAACTATGACTCATGTTATTGAGTTATCCACACAACAAATGTAAGGTTTTTATTATTATTATTGTTTTTTACAGATGATGAAAATCAGTTGTGTGAATAGAGAACTTCAAACCCCACAAAAATATTCAAGGACTTTCAAGGACAAGTGTAATTTTTGGCTGTTTTCACAAACTTTCCAGGATTTCAAGGACCCGTGGGAAGCCTGTGTTTGATGTTTTGATTTTTTCAGCAGTTACCTCCGTCAGCTCCAGGGGACTCTCGCTCTCTGGGGTCTCCTCCTGTTCCTGGTCCATCCTGCCACGGACGCTTCCTGGGTGGCAGAGACGCCATGTCCATACCCTGCAGAGACGAGGGACGCTCACGTCCACCTGGAGACGAGCCGTCGTCCCGGTAACTGTCATGACCTGAGGGCAGGAAGGGACAAAGCATTAAAGATGTACTGGCACATTGAACTACATTCTCTACATGCTCCGCCCACCACAGTCAGAGACTGTGTGTAGCTCCGCCCCCTCACCTCCTCTTGGTAGTCCTCCTCCTCTTTGCGGCCTCCCGCGGCCCCCAGTGTCCCAGCCATGGCCCATTTCCTCTGCACCATCAAAGCCTTCCTCCTGGCCTCCGTACTCGTCAGGGTAGCTCCGCCCTCCAGGTCGAGGAGGTCCGCCCCCTCGAAACCTGGAACAGAGTGGAAACCAGGTGAGAACCAGGCTCAGGTGAGACTGTCCCACTGTAAACCTTAATGTCTCACCTGTCCTCCCTCCGTCCTCTGAAGTCTCCTGCATTGTATCGCTCGTCAGGACCCCAGTTTCCTCCGCCCCCTCTGTGGCCTCCTCTGTGGCCTCCCCCTTGGAATCCAGGACCGGGTCCTGGTCCTGGTCCTGGTCTCCAGCCATCTTCTCCTCGGTTATGGAAGTCTTGTCCTCCATCGAAGTCTTGCGGGCCCCGCCGGCCTTGCTGGTTGTCTCCCCAGTAGGAGCTGGAACCCTGGTCAGACCCTGCAGGACCTTGGCGATCAGGAGGACCCATGTGGTGGTTGGACGGTGGTCCCCGAAGGTCTGGATTACATAACAGGATGAATTAACAAAGAACCTGCAGAGGCCCAGACGGGCCGCGTAAGAACAGCTAAAATACAGCGGGGCCTAGAACAGCGCCCAGAGGGACCTCTCAGGAACTGACCTTTGCTGTTGGGTCCCTGTGGACCCATCCCATGCATCATCGGCCCCGAGTTCTGACCCTGTGGACCAGAACACAGTTAGTCCACATGAAACCATGTTGCTGTAACCAAAGTTTTAATAGTTTAGGATTGTTCTTTATAGTTTATTTATTTAGTTTGACTTTTTTCTTTTAACTCAGTTTTAATTGGTTTTTACAGTGGATTTTAGTTTTTATTGTTTCAGTTCGTTTTGTAAAAGGTTTATAGTTTTAGTTAGTTTTAGTGAACTATAACAACCCTGGCTGTAACTGGTCCTGGACCAGTTCTCTAAGACTCACCTGGTGCTGCATGTACGGTGGCCCCTGCATGTTCCCAGGGGGTCCCTGCATGTTCCCAGGGGGCCCGTGCATTCCTCCAGGGGGCCCCTGCATGTTGCCTGGCCCATAGTTGTTGGGCATGTTGTTGTGTGTCCTTGGTGGGGGCCCCATCATCCCACCCTGCATCGGGCCCTGGGGCCCCATCATGTTTCCTTGAGGAGGCACCATTCCTCCTTGAGGTGGGGGTCCTTGAGGGTCCCTTGGGCCCATTCCTCGGGGAGGGGGGCCCATCATCCCACTAGGGGGGCCTTGCATCCCTCTGGGTCCCTGCATCCCTCTGGGTCCCATACCATGAGGCCCCTGAGGGCCCAGGTTTCGTGGGGGGCCAGGATGTCTCTGTGGTTCTTGCATGTCTGATGATCCCATCATGCCCTGAGGGGGGCCCTGATGAAGTGGGGGTCCAGAGGGGGGCCCCATCTGTCCAGGGTGCATGAAAGATGGCTGCATCCCCCCAGGACCCATAGGGGGCCCCATGTTGTTGGACATCTGCTGAGAAGCCATGTTAGGAAATCCCTGTGGACCAGGAGGACCAGGACCACCGGGGCCCGGGAACGGAGGCATGGAGCCTGGTCCCTGTGGGGGTCCCAAGTTCCCGTCTGAGTTCATCTGGTTTATCTTCATCTGCTGCAGAGACAGAACCAGAACCAGGTCAGAACCAGAACCAGGTCAGAACCAGAACCAGGTCAGATCTGCTGGCTTGTGCTTCTTTTATTACAGAAAACATGATTGTTTGTTGCAGCTGAGGGTTGGTGTAGTTGTTGTGTCATTGTTGTGTAGTTGTGTACCTCCAGCAGCTGAGGGTTGGTGTAGTTGTTGTGTCATTGTTGTGTAGTTGTGTACCTCCAACAGCTGGGGGTTGGTGTAGTTGTTGTGTAGTTGTTGTGTCATTGTTGTGTAGTTGTGTACCTCCAGCAGCTGGGGGTTGGAGTAGTTGTTGTGTAGTTGTTGTTGTGTACCTCCAGCAGCTGGGGGTTGTTGTAGTTGTTGTGTAGTTGTTGTCTAATTGTTGTGTAGTTGTTGTCTAATTGTTGTGTAGTTGTTGTC